GGGCAATTGTTTTCAATTATGTCTACTTAAGTATCAAATTTTGATAGTATAGACTTGCCAAGTTTTTCACGGTACAAAATGTCTGGTTTATCTTCTGCAGTTATTGTTCTCAACAGCAGTTGAAGAAGCTTATTTCCTCTGCTTAATTTTGAGTTCCCTCCCTTGTAAAATTAACAGCAGATAATAAAAACTGGGAAGTTTTCTCAAAAAAAAACTGCTAAAACGTTAAAACTAAGTCTCGATACTTTCATTAAAAAATATGAACAAAATTTTAGAAGATTACTCTCTAAACAGCCTATTTTCAAGGGCCATATTTTGAGCAGCATTTACTCATCTCTAGATAAAGGGCTTGAAGAGGAAATTTAAAGATGCAATAGAAGCAGTTATAACGTCAAATTTCTGAGCTCTACCAAATCACTATAAAGACTCTATTTTGACCAAAGTTTCTGTATCGCTGGCGATATTCTGAAAAAAATCCAAAAATAAAGTTTTTAGGCACTTTTAGGAAACTTTTGTCCAAAAAATTGCGTTTTTTTCGGCGCGCGTTCCCCAGTCAAAATTAGTATGTTTTGGCGGCAAGGCGACTTTACAAAATTTAAGGGGTCAATCAGCCATAAATGGATAACTCAAATTAGTACAAAGGCAAACGGGAGACCCTTTGGGTCGGCAGGGGTTCAAATCCTTGAGGGAAAGAGAAGAAGCGTCCGCCCCCACCTCCCCCCAAATCCGCTGGCGCTAATGAATCGTCCCTCTCCACTATAAATAAATTACAAAAAAGAGTAGATTTCAAAGCAAAGAAAGAAACCCCTCTCCACTGATTGCAAAAAAAAACAGTTGAGTCGATCCCTTAAATTATCTCATGAAGCCTGATACCATAAAAATCAAAACAAAAAATTAAGCAAATGAATTGAATTTCCATATTAAAAATTAATCAGTACTGCTCTATAGGAACAGTACTGCTCGTATATTGAGTCAAAACCCTGAAACCTTTGACTGACCCTTAGCTGGTCTCGAATAAATTTTGTTTAACATAATTTTGATGAAATATAAATTTTGGGCTGCCCTTATCAAATATAAAGTGCTTAACTTTGATTAGATTTGAATTGGCCAATTAGTTTGGTTCAATTCAGTTTAGAGCGATTAAGAGTGTGGGTTAATTCGCCATAATATTTCGTGCGTTCATTTTTACCAATAAATCGAGAGCTAAAATTGCATTTAGGCTAGTAGCAAGCATACACAGTTGGCAATCCGAAAAATTCCGGATCAATTCCCGTAGGCAGTTTTTTTTAATTAAAAAGGGCCTGAATAAAAAACCCTCAAGTATAAAAATACTTAGCTTTCTTCGAAAGTTGGAAGAAAAAGGAACTCTTTGAAACACTGTAGCAAGTTTTAAAATAGTTGTAAGATGTAATTAACTTAGAAAAAAACTAAGCCCTGATTGATCCGACCGCCCCGTAGCTGGTCTCGTATAGCTTTTGTAAAGTAAATTTTTGCTGAGTTGTAATTTTTAGACTGCCATTCTCAAATATAAAGTGCTAAAGTTTGAGTTGATTTAAATTGACCAGTTAGTTTTCCTCAATTCAGTTAAAGAACGCGGCTTAATTCGCCATATTACGTTGCGCGTTCATTTTTTTAACTATTAGTCGAGAGCTGCAATTGCACTTAGAAAAGTGTTAGCATACTGGCTGGGCAATCCAAAGATTTCCGGATCGAATCCCATACACAGTAAACCTTTGAAAAATTGGTCTGAATGAAACAAAAACTAACCCAAACATAAATTTTGGTCACTTTCTTTGAAAATTGAAACAAAAGGAACATAGGAATATATGCGTGGCACAATGACACAATGTAGCAATTTCCAAAATAGGTGTAAATCGTAATTAACTTAGTGAAAACCAACATTATAAGTTTTATCTTAGGAGGAAACTATGGCTCGCTTGCAGTCCATGGGTAGAAATCCAAATGAAAACTGTGAAAATTGAAAATTTGAACCGACTCATTGAATTGTGCCGCAATCACACCAAAAAGAAATTAAAATTGAACATGCCTGTTTGCATGAAAGCAAAGTTGGAACATAAATTTGATAGATGCCAGCGCGTATTGCAGGTCATCTTACAGGAGACGGCGCTTATTTATTGCTATTTCTTCGCTAAGTTTTCAAAATTTTCAAAAAACTGCCATAGCCATGTACGCAAGCCAACTAGAAATACAAGTCGGATATCAGTAAAATCTTTTTATGAATTGTACAAAACTGATTGAAGAATTTAGCTGGTGATATATTAGAAAATTGATTATGTGATGAAATTTTGCTTATACAAATTGTTTCACATTTGTGCTAGAAAAATCTTCTGGAAAAATATTTGAATTTCTAGTTAAATAAAACCAATAAAGTGCGAGCCCCTCACCACTTAAAGGGATCCTCCTTTGGAACTAGTGTACGACATCTGCTTACAGGTGATCGACCCTGAAATTTTCTAAAGGTTCCTTTGGCGCCAATTAATGATAATTTTGATGGGGGTAAACGCAGGACGATAAAATCAACTTTTTGAACCAAATCTTCCGAGAGTGATTCAAAAATGATAAATATCGAGTTTAAGGAGAGCTTGAAAAATCAATTTGGTCGGCCAAAAAAAATTTCAAAAACTTCAATTTTTTTCTGAAAATCGTTCCCATTCGATAAAATTCTAGATCAGCGCCTGATCTGGTCTATAGTTTTCATTTTGAATTAAATTTTTGCATAGCCTTTTCTAAAAGTATAATCTGCAGAGTCGTAAGATTTTGACAATAAAATCTACTTTTTGAACAGAATAAAATCCTTATTTAATTAATTTTAGTGTCTAAATGGGTGTTTTAGCGTCAAAAACTGGTTTTTTACTTTTGTAAAACCGGTTTCAAATCGAATATCATCAATTGCAACCTTATATTTGCTATTGCGAGCATATAAACCAGACAAAATTACGGCTGTCTTATATAAGAATTATATATAACAAATAATTATGTAACTACTGCAATATTAAATAATTTAGGCAAGGCGATGGTGGATAAGATTGCAGACTACATGTCAAATGTGCGGGACTACGATGTCCTGCCGAAGGATGTCTACCCTGGCTACTTGAAGGACCAGCTGCCAAAACAGGCCCCCAAGGAGGGGGAGCCTTTCGAGAAGATAGCCGAGGACATCGACAAAGTCATCCTTCCAGGGGTAAGGGTACACCACAAATAGGAATTCTTTCATCTAGTTCTAGAAAACTGATTGTTAATCTAATCTCTGGAAAAATACAACTAGTTAATTAAACAAAAATTTGGCAGTAAATTGATTTGGACATTTTTACGATGACCAAAAGTCTGTTATTAATAAAACTGACTTTTATTCATTTTTTTGATAATTTTTGGACAGAATCTATTTTTTCTCAGCAAAATTTTTGCTCCAAATTAAGTATCTGACCCAAAAGCGTTATCATTGGTCGGCCAAACTGACTGAAATTACTCGTTCAAAGAGTTTTGCTGCAACAGATAACGATCTAATAAGACTTAAAAGACAATAATTTTAACAAAATTCATTTTTTTTATTTCAATTTCAAGGTCATTTGCCATTTTTTTCCATGTATTTTGGTTCTTTCTATATTGTTTTCTTTTGAATGTAAATTATTTTTTTTAAAAAAAAACACAATTCTGTTGCAGACGACTCATTGGCAATCTCCTCACATGCATGCGTTCTTCCCGGCTCTCAACTCGTACGCTTCTCTCCTCGGAGACATGATGGCAGACGCAATCAACTGCATCGGCTTCACCTGGGTAAGAGATGGTGTCCAGTCAATGAATCATGAATAAAAACAAGAGCAGCTCATTGCTGTGCGAGTAGTACACAAAACTCCTCTGACATTTTTTTAAAGTAGTTTTACGAGATTTCGACCTTGCTGTGGCGAGGGAGAGGCGCTAACTGAAGCATCAACAACTAGTAACTAATGCCATAATAACGTACGATGAAATAGTTATGAGCCTCTTTACTTGCATGCTTGTTGACGGCCATTAAAAAATTAAAAATCGATTTTTTCTAAATTGGTCTGAAAAGCAAAAATAATTTTTCAAAACTTCTAAAATTAATCTTGTTGGGCTTAAATTTTGATAGTTATCTCGACCTCGTACGCACGTTTTTTTATATGGTTCTTTATTTTGTGGGAAAATAAGACACCGGATTACGAAGTCCTCTTTTCCCATTTGGAACAAAAACTGGAGGCAATTAGTTTCCTTAGAACAGAATGATTTGGACAGAAACAAGATTTCGTGTTAAGGCAAGTAGAACTTTGTAGTCCTTCGGCTGTTGCAGTTATTTTTGCTGCCAATTTTTCCCTCCTGTTTGATGAAAATTTTTGATTCAAAATTTTTTGATACGCAAAATTATTGTTAATATCTTTAAAACGATCAAATCTAATACGGCTATATTTTTTCCATCCAAAAAGTCCTATTACACATTCGTTTGAAAATTGATGGCGGCACAAAAAAGGAGAAATCACAACTTGTATTAGGGCAAAGCCTTGAATGTTCCAACTATCTTTTAGGGTCTTATGGAGCACTGCTCGCCTAAGAAAGTTGACGATTTTTTCATTTAAAAAAATCATAATCATCCCCATGCGCCATATAAATTAGAACTTTTTTCATTTCGCTCCTAGTAAGGTAACAGTTATGACAAATAGCTTGCCCTAACTAATTTGGAACAATTTCTAAAACGGATTTACTCTCCGCTTACGCGTTAATAGCGCGAAATATATTGCACGTTAATTGTCCCAAATTGGCCAAAATGGCAATCTTTAAACCCCTATAACTTTACGAAAAATGATCACAGGTGAAATATCTTTTCAAATTTAAGCTCAAGACACAAATAGTTTTAGAATTATAAGTGAAAATCCCGTCGAAAATGGCTGGTTAAAAAGTCGGAATTTGTCTGTAGAAAAAAAACCCACCCCGAGCACAAATATTCCGTTACTTTCGTTACGAAAGTCAGAACAAAAAAACCCTTTATTCTCCAAAAAATCAAATGATCCAGCATAATCCCTGACGCATTCCAAATTGTTTATCTGATGATGGTGAACATCTAAAATTTGAGATTTTTGTATAAAACATATTAAGTACAAAGCGATAGATTTTGCTCCTATTACCAAATCAATTATGACAATTAAGCTGCCTTCAACCAATGTGGAACGATTTCTAAGACGGATTAAATCTCCGCTTACGCATTAATGGCGCAAAATATCTCGCGCCCTATTTGTCCCAAACTAGCCATATTGGCAATTTTAACACACCCATGACTTTAAAAAAAATTTACATGAACTTAACATAAAATATTTTTTTAAATTTGAACTCAGAATAGCAATACTTTTCAAAATTTTGTTTAAATCTGTCAGTTAAAAAGGTAATTTTATCTGAAAAGGAAATCAAGAAGAACACAAATAATCCGTCACATTATTCTTTGAAAGCGGGATGAAAAACAACAACAATTTTTTGTGCATAATACCAGAGTTTTGTTCTTGGGCCGCTTTTCTTTTCAAATTTCGAAAAAAAACAGCAATTTGTTTAGATAGTCAGTTGCACATTGTTTGCAAAAGAAAAATTAATTTATGTGCGCTTATTTTATTTCAGATAACTGCCCTAAAAGAAATTGCAAGATATGAAAAAGTTGTATCAAAATTTTTGGAAGCTATAAAAAAGTTTTTTTAGTGCACTGGATTTGGCGGAAACGGAATTGGTATTTTGTTAGTGGATTCGGCAAAATATTTGCGACATCAAGTAACTCAATGTTACAAGTTTGAACAGATTCCACTTACAAGTTTGGACAGCATCAAAGGCTTGTCTCTAGACTCTAGGTTCCTACAAGCACCACACCGTGCGCATATTAGAAACACAGTTTGGCCTTGCACTGTTATGGTAGCAACACGAGTTATACTATAGAGCTAAACAAAAAAGATCGGTACAAAATGATCAAAACAGCTAACCGAAGTTCCTATTGAACCATGCGTAATTATAATGGTTCATTATCTGACTTTTGCGGTTATGCTATGTGCTCAAAACTTAACTTGAGCAACCAAAAAAAATATCTGACGTTTTTTATAGCAGATTTTTTGCAATAAAAAGCTCACAGGAACCAAAACTCTTCCTGTTGACATGCTTTTATTTTTTTTTGTTGTACTGAAATCTTGATTTGAAAATGAGGATTTCAATTGAAGAATGCCAGTAGATAATTGGTACTTGATACAAGCCGGAAAACTGACAGATACTTAATATTTTCTTTGTCTTCAAACCTCGTCACAGCAACAGCTTTCATTTTGTATATAACTTTTGCTCCAACTTGCGGAATTTTCTTGCTTGCGGTGTTTTTAAAACAGTCAAATTCTGTGTTTTAAATATTAACAAAAATAATTGACAAAAAAATATATAATTTATGCGCGCTTAGAAGATATATTTATAGTGCTGAAAATGTTACGCGAATATTTATGCTAAGGAAATTTTTCCGTACTTCACAATCATTTCAAATTTATTTGCGGCAAGCTAATTGATCGTACTATTCTGTAGCACTCAAACGTTTTGCACCTGGTTTTTGACATTTTGATATATTTTTAAACCATTGTGGTGCTCAATATTTCCTTTTCCAAAAAAAAACTACTCGTTGCCTAATTTGGGGCAACTGAAATGTTCAAGGGTTTGATGTCCAAAACCTGATATCCAAACAGTTTCGTTTGTTATATAGTATAGTATTTGTACTTTCTTTAGCGACGCCTGTTCTGGCCATTGAATCTAAACGTCGTCATTGTTCTGACCTTGGAAGAAAGTGCGCAATATTTATACTTGCGGTGTTTTTTTTTGCGGTTTCAAATTTCGACTTTATAATAAAGCGTTTTTGACAAAACTTCTTTACACTAATTGAAATAAATGGCTGTTTGAAGCTCATTTTTTTAAATTCACGTGTAATTTTTTTGTTAAATTATGGGGATTTGAAAGTTACTCATTCTGGAATTGGGGATAATTAACGCTCGATGTATGTCGGGTGATAAAATCGAAAAAATGCTTTTTTATTTCTTTTTTTGGTCATTTTGCCATTTTTTCAAGCAAAACTTTTTGATTGGCCTTATATTTGGCCTTATAAACGAGAAAAGTTTTGTTTAGGGTTAGATTTTCCATTTTCTCTGCAGAAACCAATTTTTTTATTTGATTTCGAATATAGCGTGAAGCGCTCAAGGCGCTCATCATTGCCGATAGTGTTACCTATGTGACATTAACTATAAAATGCTGAAAAGGATACGCTGTTTTTGATTTCAGGAGGCGAGTCCAGTGTGCACTGAGCTTGAGATTGTAGTGATGAACTGGCTGTGCGATGCTCTGGGACTGCCGGATAAGTTCCAGCACAATCGGCCACACTCATTTGGAGGTGGAGTGATCTACACCACGTGCAGTGAGGCCACTCTATCGGCCATGATGGCCAGCAGGAAACGAGCCATAGATGAACGGTATTTTGAAATATGCAGTAAAATACAAAAGTCGAACAGACAGGTTTAATGAAACATGAGGAGACAATAGGCCAACTTTGAACAAAATTTGTGAATTTTTGGGGGTTTGAAAATTGCCAAGTTTCTGGACAGGGACTAGACTAATTTATGCGCGCTCTGGAGATTATACTTTTAGTGCGGAAAACGTAACGCTAGTATTTATGTCCAGCCATTTATCCCGCACTTCAATAATTCCAAATTGGATTGTATCAATCTAATTGGTCGTATGAATTCTGTACAGCTCAAAATTTTTAGGCAACAATTTGTTTCGAAAAGTAGCTTTTTCTTTAAAAAGATCATTTGATTTCATAAATTAATTTTGTCGGTCACTAATTTTTGAAATTCTGACATTATCCTTTTAGCTTTTTGGTCAATAAATCTGAACCAAGTCGACTAACCTATGACTGCTCATTTTGACGTCGGAAATAAATGTTTACTTGTTAATAAAATAATGCTAAAAACCTAATCTACCTAAAATGAGTAGGATTCTTTCAACCAATTTAGATGCTCAAGACCAGGTTAGCCAACAACATTTTTGCTCGATTATAGAGAATACCATCATTCAAAACGCCGTGTTGTAAAATCTAACAAAAATTTTTCGATTTCGATAGAAAGTTGCATTTTTCCAAGTTCAGATTAGTTGGTTTAGAGCCGCCAAATTCCTCAGGTGTGAGAGATTTTTTGGTCGAGTTACATAGAAAATGATTTTAAATTAAAATAACGCGCAATATTTTTCTTTGGTAAATAACTTTTTCTAATTTTTTTTAAAAAATAATCTTATTATAGTATCCTAACGAAGCCGTTTGCAGGGATGTGCATTTACTCTTGTTAAAGCCAAAAGTATTCGCTTCTAACTGTTCAGTGATTTTTGCTCCTCATTTTCAGGAAGTCGAGACATGTTTGCGGTCGTCGAGGTCTGGCTGATGCGGACATTCTGTCGAGACTGGTCGCTTACTGCTCCGATCAGGTAACTCTCTTTTGTTTTAATTTTATCCGGATGCTCTTATTTTTCAGTTTTCAGTTCGCGTAGTTAGCAGCACACATTGTGATAGTTTAAACGCGAGGGTCGATGTTCTGTTTCAGTATTCCGAGCTACGCACAAACCATCATACAAAAATGTTTATATCAGGTAGAAAACCTGATTGTTTTGGTGCTCCTCACTTTTTCGATATATATTTTTCTCGATTTAAATGAAACCCTAAATTTTAAAAAAGTAAAAATACTTTGGAAAAAAATATTCAAACAGATGTTGGAAAAACACAAAATTTAACCAAAATAGGTAACTTTCGGCTCTGCATTGGAACAAATTTGCGCTACTTTATAACTCTACAGTTTTTGATTGAGAACTATTAAATTTGTTAACTTTTCAATAACTCATGATAGCTCAAATAAATTTTAAAAAACTGGTTTACAGCAAAATGTTTGGCTCCACGCGATTTCACGTACCACAAAATAAAACTTTTGATTCAATTCCTTTGACAAATTTCTGAACATTTTTTCCGAGTGTCGAGAAAAATTGGTTTAAAACTTTGATATTTAGTTACTAATTTCTGACAATAAAAGTTAGTTTTGGAAGCTTCGGCTTTCACTTTTCTGGCGCAGAGAATTTTGGAAGTTGATTTTCAAAGTTCAAGAAAAACATGAAAAAATCGATACAAGTTTTTTGCTCATTGTTTCAATGGAAAAAATTTTTTGCAAGTGTTTTAGATATAAATTTTTTCCGAGTGTCGAGAAGTCGATTGAAGGCATTACTAAATTGAAAAGCATTTAAGGCATTCGATTGAAGGCAGCTGTTTGAAGGCATTACTAAAATTTTTTAGCGTTTTTTCGCACAAAAAAGTAGTAAAAAAACTTTTAAAAAATACGAAAAATGCCATGTTTTTTTTTCATTTCTTATCATTTTTTTTTAAAAATTGCTGTAAACGGAGCCTTTTGAGCTGCTGAATATAGTCTTTAACTTTACTGATTTAACAGCAAAAGGCAAGTAGTTTTTGTATGCCATCGGAGCAAGTAGCATTAAATTTTAGGAATTGCTAATTAGTGTACTTGGTTTGTAATTAGGGTTTCCGATTTTGATGGAAAATAATAGCCAATTCCAAATTATTTTCTACTGAAACAAGTCAAATCCATCCTTATAGTAGTTTGAACATGATTTGACTTGATGTGTTGTTATGTTTTCCGCTTAGGCACACTCGTCGGTTGAGAAGGCCAGTATGCTGTGTATGGTCACTCTGCGACATCTGCCCACTGATAAGGACACTAAAGCACTCAGGGGCCACACATTGAAACAGGCCATAGAAGAGGACACTGCTAAGGGACTGATTCCATTCTTTGTTAGTATTTGCCAGATATTATATGGTATAGTTCTTCATAACCAATTTCTCCTGGTTGAAATCCATAAAAAATCCTTGCCATGTAATTCCAGAGAGAAAAATGAAAAAAAAAATGGTTTGACATGCTCTTTCTAGACCTTTTTCAAATTGGCTCTTAAATATTTCAGAACAAATATGCCAATTTTTTGACGACAATTAATTTTTTGTCCATTTAAAGGAGATGATTTTTATTCGGATGAAAAAATAAAGCTTTTCATACAAGTTCCCACGTATGATAATGCATGATAGGCAAATTTTCATTTTTCGGAAATCCAGTTTATAAGAACTTATAGATACTTTTATAGATAGAAATTTTTATAACGTGGTTTTGAACAGTAAATGAACGAAGTGATTTGTCTTTTATGTAGTTCATAAAATTTCTTCCTGTTTAAGTAGTGTTTTTTGTGCGTTTTGACTTGATTTCTGCATTAAATTAAAATTTATTTGCTAAATCAAAAGCAAAGGATGCGCTGCAACCACGGGGTGCAAACTGTCCAAAAACGTGGGTCAATTTTTTTCAAAAATGAACTTAAGTTTTTAGATTTCCAGTTGATTCAGTTTACTCGAGCTGAAGTAATTTTGAGAGCGTTTTTAGTCTCAATGAACCACAATGAAGAAAAAAACAAGTGTTTTTGCGCGTGTTTTTTTTCCCAAAATATGTCTAGAAATTGACATTTTTTCAGCGTTTTTTTGTTTTTTCTAAAGTTCGCTTCAAATAGAAGGCAGTTTATTTTTTCCATTACTAAAAAGGCAAGTGGTGCAAAAACTTGGTTGCCTTTTAGTTTCAGCTATCATCTATGTTGTATTCCCAAAGTTTATAGGTATTGTTCAAGTAAAACAACAGTTGCAAAACAAAATTCAGTCCTTTATCAGAATAAAATCTGACCATGAGATTGAAAAAAAAAAGTTTGCTTGCACTGTTCTAGAGCTGTATAACTACTGTTACTGTATTGTTTTCTTCAGCTTGCTTTCATCTGAAACACTACTGGAAATATTTATACGAAATTTTCAAATTGAATTCAAAGTTTCGTCATTTCGCAAAAGACGTCAAAATAGCTTTAAATTATCAAAAATATGCTGAATATCAATTTAAAAACGCACTGAAAGCGCTGTTTTTCCGCACTAAAAAACATTCGTTGTATTTTGGAATTTTTATTGAAATTTCAATCTCAAAATTCGGAAACTCTTAATGAATAGAAGTGGACTCGTCTTTCTCATGAGCTAGGCCCTACCGCGATCAAATGGTTCTCCCTTTAATAAAAATTCAAAGCTTTCATTTTGTCTAACGGACTCTAACCGACTCCATTTTGTCTAACCGACTCTAAGTCTAACCGGCGTTTTAGAAATCTGTTTTTTGTTCTTCTTCATACAATTACAGAAAGTGACAAAAACAACTTTTGAATCTGCTAATAAATTTTGAGGGAATGATGTCCTTGAAGGAATTCGTCCTTTTTCTAAAAAATTTATCTGCTGAAAGTGGCGTAAATAGCCCTCAACAAGAAAATGACGCAAAATGACGTGAACGATTTCTAGGTTCGAAAGTAGAATTTAATTTTTCGATTTCCAGCAGAAAAAAGTTTTACCTGTTGATCCAGATTTCTCAAGTCGGGTTCATGTGATCAAAGAAGCGCCAATCATTAATCGTTCTAGAAATTCAAAGAGCTTAAAGGGCATCTATTTTTTTCTTTTAAATTCGAAAGTTGAGATTTTTTTTCAGGAAAGTCAGTGTTTTTTTTATGTTTACTTGCGTTCATTTCTCTTTTTCAATCTTCGATTGGCTATTTTTTGTTTGTCTTGATTTTTTTTGTTTTTTTTCCAAACATCAATAGGCTATAATTTTTTTAAAAACTAATGCAGACACGCAGGGGCGTGTGCAAGAATGTTTAGAGGGGGGTGATGAGATAGCGCGTTTTTTTTTCAAAACTGATTTTTTCCCTCTCTTAGAACACTATAAAGACCCTATTTTGATTAAACATTCTGCGCCGCATAAAAAATTTTGAGAAAACAGGCCAAAAAGAAGTTCGAAGAATTTATTTTGTTCAGCCTAAAAAAGGATGTAGTAAAAATGTAACAAAATGGGGGGGGGGGGTAATCTTTGTAACATCTAGGCAGACAGAGTTGAGTTCCCCTCCTCCTAAACACGTTAGCGAGGTCACGATGAAAGGCATTCGGACTAGCAAACAGTCTCCGGGATACTAGAACTCCTGCTCCTATCAAAATCTGCTAATTAAGCAGTTCAACTAGAAACGCCTCCATTTTGAAACTCAATTTGGCTGCCTTTCAATACCAATAATTGGAAAAGACTTTTTGCCAAAATGCTTTTGGGCTTCCAGGGAAATTTGGTATTGTAGATTGATCGAATTCCCCCACGTTTTCAAAAAATTTCGATCGGAAATGACTTTTTGTAATTACTGGGCGTTAAAACTTTTCATCCGGGTCGCATTAACTTTTTAAGATTACAGAAATGGGTTTAATTTTAGCCCCTCACTCGAATTAGCTGAACAAATTACCATTCTTCTGACGTAACGGCAGAATCAGACATCCCATGGGAGTTAACATTACCATAAAAAAAGCAGTGAAATCAGAAAGTTGTTACACTTATTAGATGTTTCAACTGTTAAGAGAACGATTTTTTAATGATTTTTTTCACTACCATTTTGGATTATTTGTTATACTATTTAAAAAGAAATATCATAAAAGCTGGCCAGGGGCAATATTAAAATTAAAAAAACAAGAGAAAATGAATCATAAAATCATTCTTCCAATATGAGACCAAAATTTGGAATTTCAAACGTTTCTTTTTCTTTAGCAAAATTAGTCTCTTTTTACCAGACCGATTTCAATTCAAATGCCAAACTCAACTAGTTTGTTTATAAATGAGCAGTAACTCATATTTAATTGTACAAAATAAGATTCTAAAAGAATAACCTTTTTGAAAATATTCATTTGTGTTAAAACTTCTGTCATTTTTTACGAGGTTTATGTCGTCACTTTTCTTTCATAGCGTAAACTGACATGCATTTTTTATTGATTCAAAGTACAGTTGAGTTTGCAGCAAGTAGAAAGTTCATGCCAGCTGGGTTAGGATGGAAAAGACACTTTGGATGTAACTTTGGAATTTGATGGACAAATGAAATTGAAAAATTGCTAATTTTAATCAACTTCGTAAAACTGCTTCATAGCTGAGCGAAAAAAGCATACAAAAGCTGTGACAAAAAAAATTGCCATTCGATTTGATACTTTTTAAAAGTAATGAGCATAGTGAAAACTTAAGAATTTCTTTGTGATTTTTTGTTTTTTTTTTTCTAGAAATTGTCCTAAATTTTAATCAAGCTCAATTTTTTCGTTTCGCGTTTTTCGCGTTCAGATCAGTGTTGTAATAAAACTGGGAGGGAGTGAGAGGCGAGGAAAATTTGGTTTGGAAAACATAGGTTTCTGATCTGTTGAACTTAAATGAATTTTACTTTTTTTGCTTGTTATAGCTGTAAAATAATAACAAGACTACTCGTATCAGGGCGAAGCCTTAAATGTTCCGACTGCCTTTTAAGGTTTATGGAGCAGTAAAAACATTTAAAAAATTCAATTAAATAAAACAAAAGAAAATTTTTTTCTTCTCAAATGTGAAATTTTTTATGAAAATCACCCCCACACACGCCATATAAAGTACAAAAGGATAGATTTCGCTCCTTGTAACAAACCAATAATGGCAAATAAGCTTCTTTTAACCAATTTGGAACGATTTTAAGACGGATTAACTCTCCGCTTACGCGTTAATAGCGCGAAATATATCGCGCGTTAATTGTCCCAAATTGGCCAAAGTTGCAATCTTTAAACCCCCGTAACTTTACGAAAAACAATCACAGGTGAAATATCTTTTCAAGTTTGAGCTCAAGTCAACAATACTTTTTGAATGATATAAAAAAATTCCGTCAAAAATTGCTAGTTAAAAAGTCGAAATTTGTCTGAAGAAAAAAAACCCACCCCGAGCACAATTATTCCGTTACTTTCGTATCGAAAGTCGGAACAATAATGATAATGATTGTGGTTACTGCAATTCTCAGAGGATCTATGAAAGGCTATCTAGACTGTCTAAGCAGAGTCTGTTCGTCATATTTCCCCACACTCCAGACGGAGTTATTTTGTTGAGCGAAGTCTTTTTTTTGCCACTCAAGGCAGTTTTTTTTGCGTCTAGAGCTTTCACGTGGTACCACTATTGCTGCCGTAGGCGGTCAGGCTGTGGTAGACGACCTGAAACTAGAGGTCAAGTGACAGCTCATCCTCACACTATCAATGCCACGGCTAAGTGCCTCTAAAAAGACATGGCAGAAAACTTCTTGCTAAATTAAAAAATTTTCTGCAATATAATTGAATTAAAGTCCTGAAAATAAAATATTATTCTGTTATAAATAGACAATTCTGTTTTTTTTTTGCAAAAAAATCAACATTAGTGGTTTATCTTGACTAAAAAATTGATTTCAGGGCCAAAAATAAGGGATTATAATCAATTATAATAAATTAAAACAATTTTTTTTTGAAAACTTTTGATTATATTGACATTATCATCAATTGCATGGACTGAACTTTACATCTGTGTTGTAATTCAATGGATTATTTTACAACACAGATAAACAAAAGATGGAGTGCAATGAGAGAAATTAAATTGGAAATTGAGAAAAGATGAGTAAAATCACTGAATTTTGGTTCAAAACTATTAACATAATTTAAAATGTCATAATCTCTTATAATCGATTATTATTAAAATGATTTCATTGATTTGACAAAAAAAATTACAATCCTTTTATAATCGGATTATAGTCGATTATTTTTTGAATATACAATTGATTTTAGTTAAATTTTCAACAAGAAGTGGAAAGTCAAAATACAGTTGGTCTTTTGTTTTTAGACAATCCGCACTCGATTTTTAAAGATAATAATCGATTACAAGGGATTATATCGGCAAAAAACTTAATCCATAAAAAATATTTTCATGGCCAATCTAGTAGAAAAAAAATGGATTTTTACGGGAGTATAATGGATTATTTTCAAGATTCGAAACTCCATTGTATTCCAATAAATTTGATTATAATCCATTTTTAGTTGCATTATAATTGATTTTTTTTACAACCCCACACCCGCCCCAAACGGTCAACATTTCGCACAGTTCCCTAATTTCACACAACCTCCCTTTCTTACGCATCCAAACCACCCCCCCCCCCCAAGCCAAACACATACACACACACACACACATACACACACACACACACACATACACACACACACACGGACACACCCTTCCAATTCCGCTCACACTACCCCCCACACCCTCTTCATGACCCCACTTCACGTTTTTACGCTTTACCCCGGTCCACCGCCTCACTCCCCTCGATAGGAAGAGAGGGCAGGGGCGGTAAAAAAAAATTTTTTTTTGGGGTGGGGATCAAATTGTTCTCAGAAAGGAAGCTAAACAAAAGATGGAGTGCAATGAGAGAAATTAAATTGGAAATTGAGAAAAGATGAGTAAAATCACTGAATTTTGTTTCAAAACTATTAACATAATTTAAAATGTCATAATCTCTTATAATCGATTATTATTAAAATGATTTCATTGATTTGACAAAAAAAATTACAATCCTTTTATAATCGGATTATAGTCGATTATTTTTTGAATATACAATTGATTTTAGTTAAATTTTCAACAAGAAGTGGAAAGTCAAAATACAGCTGGTCTTTTGTTTTTAGACAATCCGCACTCAATTTTTATGGATAATAATCGATTACAAGGGATTATATCGGCAAAAAACTTAATCCATAAAAAATATTTTCATGACCAATCTCGTAGAAAAAAATGGATTTTTACGGGAGTATAATGGATTATTTTCAAGATTCGAAAATCCATTATATTCCAATAAATTTGATTATAATCCTTTTTTATTTGCATTATAATTGTTTATTTTATTACAACCCCACACCCGCCCCCAACGGTCAACATTTCACACAATTCCCTAATTTCACACAACCTCTCTTTCTTACGGATCCAACCCCCCCCCCCAGCCAAACACACACACACACACACACACATACACGGACACACCCTTCCAATTCCGCTCACACTACCCCCCCCCCCCCCACACCCTCTTCATGACCCCACTTCACGTTTTTACCCTTTACCCCGGTCCACCACCTCACTCCCCTCGATAGGAAGAGAGGGCAGGGGCGATAAAAAATTTTTTTTGGGGGGGGGGGGGTCAAATTGTTCAGAAAAAGGAAGCTAAACATAAGATGGGGTGCAATGAGAGAAATTAAATTGGAAATTGAGAAAAGATGAGTAAAATCACTGAATTTTGTTTCAAAACTATAAACATAATTTAAAATTTCATAATCTATTATAATCGATTATTAATAAAATGATTTTATTGATTTGACAAAAAAATTACAATCCTTTTATAATCGAATTATAGTCGATTATTTTTGATTTTGTAGAGACTGACCATGAAAATCGAGTATAATCGATTATTATCCATGAAACTCCAAATTGTTTTTCCGAACTTTCCCAAAACACTATTAATTCTTTTCTATGACAGAGGAGTGATGAAAACAGGCCAAAATGGTGCGACCTTATTTTGGAAATTTCAGACAGGCGCGACCAAAACCTGCCAATTCAAGAGTGGCGCGACTGAAAAAAAAATACCGCGACCGGCAGGACCCAAAAAAAACGTATCAAACGGCGCGACAACAAAATGGCTTGAACAGAGCAAAAAAAAATTGCCAAATCTGGACCAGATCGATTGAAAAAATAACTCTTCGACCGGAGCGACGGAACGAAAAACTTAAAGTGATTTTTTTAGTCTCGTCGCCAGTTTCAAAACAACTATAAACATAATTTAAAATTTCATAATCTATTATAATCGATTATTAATAAAATGATTTTATTGATTTGACAAAAAAATTACAATCCTTTTATAATCGAATTATAGTCGATTATTTTTGATTTTGTAGAGACTGACCATGAAAATCGAGTATAATCGATTATTATCCATGAAACTCCAAATTGATTTTCCGAACTTTCCCAAAACACTATTAATTCTTTTCTATGACAGAGGAGTGATGAAAACAGGCCAAAATGCGGTTTTAAAGTACTTTTGGAAAGTTTTGACAAAAAAAAACGCGTTTTTTTTGGCATCCCCTCTCAAAAATCACTGCAAATTTTTGCAATCCAAAAGTTTATTTTAAAATTGTTTAACATTTGCTTGAGCTTGAGTGGATACTGAAGGCAGTCCAATTGCATTCTAATTAACTTTTCTTACAGTTTGTTGTAATTCAATTATCAGAACTGAATGTTTGTCACGACAGGTGTGTGCGACCTTGGGCACCACGGGTATCTGTGCTTTCGACAACGTGGACGAGATAGGCCAAGTGGCCGGTGAGTTTGGACTGTGGGTACACGTGGATGCAGCCTATGCGGGCACTGCCTTCATCTGTCCCGAGTTCAGATACCTGCTGAAGGGAGCCGAGACGGTGGACAGCTTCGCATTCAATCCCAGCAAGTGGATGATGGTGCACTTCGACTGCACCGCATTCTGGTATAACAAATTGTTTTCACTCAGAAAATATGAAGTTCAAAAGTTCACAAAATGACACTTGAGTAAATTTAAAACTCCCCGGAGATCAGAACTGAATCTACAAATCTGCTTCCAGGAGTCTCTCTTCTGAGCATAAACCACCGTTGTTATACACTCAAACATGAAAACTGAATTTTCCTCCTCAAAACACGTTATTTATGAAATCAATAAGCTTGTATAATGATAACATTGATGATGGAGGGGATAGGGTAGACGCAACGCATGTTTAATGCCTACTTAATTTCTACCCAAAGGCAGCAGATAATTGATAAAGTAAATATCAAGCCGAAAAAGTCATTCTCCGTGACTACTCCGCATAAAACACAAAAAAGACACTTCGCGAGTTTTGCGGTAATCAACAAAACGCGGAAATGGACATTTGAATAAACGCCATTGATTAGTAAACAAAACAACTGAGATTTGATGCAAACACTGATTCACGCGCATTCTATTCCTGTCGAGGTGCACTTTTTTTAACCGCCCCGGCTGAATTCCGGTATTGTGTTCCCGTATGCATGCATCACTCATTCCGAAGGTAAACGAAGCGGAGTAAAAAAAAGATTGAGCATTCAGACTCCGTACGAGCCAATGTTGCCTTTTCAAATGATTATCAAATTTAGCGAGTTGCGGATTTCCTTAAATTTTTCAGTTTATCTATTTTCCGAGCTGCATTTATTCTCGCGACTTATTAAAAGGCCAGCGCGACACAAACTTGCCGCTTTCAGACTGGTGCGACCTTATATTGGAAATTTCAGACAGGCGCGACCAAAACCTGCCAATTCAAGAGTGGCGCGACTGAAAAAAAAATACCGCGACCGGCAGGACCCAAAAAAAACGTTTCAAACGGCGCGACAACAAAATGGCTTGAACAGAGCAACAAAAAATTGCCAAATCTGGACCAGCACGATTGAAAAAATAACTCTTCGACCGGAGCGACGGAACGAAAAACTTAAAGTGATTTTTTTAGTCTCGTCGCCAGTTTCCTATGTCGCTCCAGTCGCGCCATCGAAGTCTTTCTGAAGTCGCGCCGCCAGTTTTTTCTTAAATCGCGCAGCCAAAGTATTTTCTTAAGTCGCGTTGCCGGTCGTTTCTTAAGTCGCGCTGCCAACTTTATTTTGAGTCGCAGCACCATTCTTTCCTTGAGTCGGGCTGCCAATTTTTTTTAAAGACTTTGTGAAGACTGGTGGCGCGACTGACGTTACAATGTAAGAAAAAACTGGCAGCACGAACCAAGAAAAACCTGGCGGCGCTTCTTAAGAAAGGACTGCCGGCGTGACTCAAGAAAAGACTAGCGGTGTGACTTGAAAAAAAGACTAGCGTCGCGAATATAAGAAAAGACTGGCGGCGCGAGTAAAGAAAAGACTGGCGGCGCGAGTTAGGAAAAGACTGGCGGCGCGAATTAAGAAAAGACTGGTGGCGTGAGTTAAGAAAAGACTGGTGGCACGAGTTAAGAAAAGATGGACGGCGTGAGTTAACAAAGGACTGGCGGCGTGACTCAAGGAAATACTAGCGGTGCGACTTAAAAATAAGACTAGCGGCGCGAATATAAGAAAAGACTGGCGGCGCGATTTAAGAAAAGACGGGTGGCGTGAGTTAAGAAAAGACTGTTGGCGTGAGTTAAGAAAAGACGGTTGGCGCGAATTAAGAAAAGACTGGTGGCGTGAGTTAAAACTGGCGGAATGAGTTACGAAAAAAACTGGCGATGCAACTTAAACAGGTGGCGGTGGTTTAATAGGAAAACTGTACGGTGAGAGTTAAGAAAAGACTGGCGCGACCACAAAATGCAATCTAAAAATGGTGAGCGGCGCGACCTAAAAGGTTTTTTTTTGCGGACCTCAAACCCAGAAACTATGTGCTGCCTCAGTTAAAATGAAAATCGTTGAGTAGTAAGACCTGACAATGATAACCTATTTTCAATTTTAGTTTCAAAACAATTTTCTTAAAACAAAAAATTGTATTCAGTTTGTTTAGTTCGATGGCTTCTTATCAAACAAAGGTCTGTTTTTATAAAGGGTTGCGGACTACAGATGTCTCGAGAATGCTTTCTGCATTAACCCCGTCTACTTAATGCACGACAATATGGGTGAGTATTTGCATTCGGTTTAACTAATTGAGACAAATATTTTAGTGCCTTTAAGTTCCCCTTGAGCCATGCAAATTAGCGTAATCGATGAAGTGCCAACAACAATTTCTTAAATACGAATTAAGGACATACTAACTAAAAACTTTTTGGTTTTTTGAGTTTTCTAATTGTTGGGTTTTTTAAAAGAGCCCTCTCCCCAAGTGGTACTTTTCCATGTTGATAAAGAGTGATGAAGAATATTAATGAGTCGAGACTAAGTTTCGGCTTTCGGTTACCATGAACAAATGGCAACAAGGAGCGCTAGTTACTATGCAAGTAGCTCAGAATGTTCCGACATCAAAGTTTTAAAAAAATTTTGCAAAATTTTTTGCAAGATTTCGCAATTTTTCATTTTTACTTGACTCTTATTTTTCAATAGACTACGTGAAAATTTGCGAGAAAAAGAAGTAATATTTTTAAGATGAAGTTGAAAATGTAGCAAAATTGATTAGCGAGATGAGCCTCTCATCAATTTTTGTCCAACTTAGTCTGAAAATCGTAAAAACATTCAGATCAGATTTTCTCGACAAAGAGATGAGTTTTTTTGAACTTTTTAAGAAACAGATTCACGACCAACAAAGACTATTTGAAGTTTCCTTTTTAGTCATAAAATGATAGTTATGTTGTCTTAATGTTTTTTTTTGTTTCAGATAAGTCGGTGGACTTTATGGTATGTTAACTTCTGTGTTGCTTAGAACCCTAGCCGACTTCCAAGTTTAATTAAGTTGCTTACTGAAATGTCCAAAAAACATCGAGAAAGGGTTTTCATAAGAAATTGACTCACCGTAAAAGGCCGACCCCCCCCCCCCCTTTTGGCCTGTTTTTATAAAAAAAAATGTTAAAATAGGGTCTCTATGGTGTTTTAAGAGAGCTCGGACAATCAATTTGGTCGACCAAAAAAATATCATCAAAATTTTCGATACTTTTTGCTAAAAACGTTTTTCCCAGAATTTTGCAACCTCTCTAGTAAAATCAATAAAAATGATTCTGCGTTTTGGAGAGTCGGCTAGGGTGTTACATTTGTGCTTTCTCTTTGAAATCAATTGTGTACACTTTGAAGTTTATTTTAGCACTGGCAAGTCCCACTCAGCCGACGGTTCAGGGCGCTCAAATTGTGGTTCGTGTTGCGCTCATTTGGCATTGAAGGGCTGCAAAAACATGTGCGGCAGGTAAAATGCTTTGTAAAACTTTTTAGTATAGTTTTTTCTAGGTATTTTTTGTGTTCTTGTAATTTGACATGAAATTGGGCGTGTGTAATTCAGGGAGTGGAGCTGGCGGCCTATTTTGAACAGTTGATGGCAAGCAACAAGATATTTGAAGTCAAAGCCAAACGCATACTGGGACTGGTAGTGTTTCAGCTCAAGGTAAATTGCATCTGCGCTCATAATTTCTTCGGCGTTTTTGAAGATAATATTGGGTTTTCGTGGTCTGAAATGTTTTCAGTATAATGCACTTTTATGTCTCCCTCAAAGCATTGGTTAAGGTTATAAAAAAAATTGGCTATTTTTCATTGTTTTCTGGAATTTAAATGAAATCTATTCAGGGACGGATCTAGGATTTTCTTGAGGGGGGGAGGGTGGATTTTCAAAAAAAATTTCGAAATTTTTGTCGATCTTTTTTTAGGTCGACCAAATTGATTTTCTGAGCTCTCCCTATGAAGACCCTATTTTTTTAAACAAAAATTTCTGCGTCGCAGTCAAATTTTTGATGAAAAAAAAAACAGGCCAAAAAGGCGTTTTAAGGCACTTTTTGGAAAATTTTGACCAAAAAAAATTCGCGTTTTTTTGGCGCGTGCTCCCCCCATAACATTATATATTGGCGCCAAAGGCACCTTTAGAAAAAAAGTTAGGGCCCGTCAGCCAAAGTAAAGGGTCCGCCAACAAAAGCCAAAATTTAGGGCCCGGATATCTCAAAATAGTACAAAGGGGGCCACCCCCCTTAAATCCGCCCTTGAATCTTCTTAAAATCTTTTGAAAGTTATTTTTTTCCTCTTTATTTTCATTTTGCGCCGAGCAAATTTTGCAATAATTGAGGATAAAAAGGTTATAATAACTAGTGTTTATATTTTTTAAATAGATTTTGGGCCGAGGTTTAGGACCCAAATTGTTGAAACTCGGTAATATAGAAACAAAAATTTAGTTGAAAAATTTAAGTTGCGCATATTGAAATTGAATGAATCCAACGATAGAACTGCAAAGTGGGTGTTGAATACCGGAGCTTGGCGCTCCCTAAAGACGTACCGAATTAATCGGACTATTAAAATGAACTTTGTAGGTTTTGGAGAGGGGTTTTTCTGGAACCAAAAATATTTATTGAGCTCTATAAAAACAGTATAAAAACTCTATTTTGCTGAAGTGTTCTGCTCTGCAGCCACATTTTTGATGAAAACAAGCAAAAAAATCTTCAGCACTTTGAAAGGTTTTAACCAATAAACTCGCGTTTTGTGCGCGCTTCACCTCTTTAAGTTATTTGTATTGGCGCCGATGAAAGATTTGAGTCTCGATCGGCCGAAAGATAGTCGTGAAATACTAGAAAATTGGGATCCTTTAACTGTTTAGGGGTTGAACCCCTGAAGAGGGCGACTAAATCCGCGTCGTGATTATAAAAAAATGTCTATAATTGTGTTTAAGAACAACAGTGGGCTGACTAAGAAGCTGTTGAGTGAGTTGTTGGCCAGCCGCAAGTTGTACGCAGTGCCTGCTCTGCTGGACGGGGAGACGGTCATTCGGTTCACTGTCACTTCTGCTAACACAACAAGAGAGGACATCGAGCACGACTGGAAGGTGCGAACATTTCCTATTTAAGAGAAATGAGCAAAGTGAGGACACTGATATTCTGAACGACACTGAAAAAACACATCATAGCGCTTTGTCGAGCTCTCTTTTTTTTCAAAGTGATATTGGTTGGAAAAATTGCGATATATTGTATAATAACGTCTATGAAGCAAATTTGATTCAGCTTCAGCAACATATTCCCATTTTATTTCCAAATTTCTAATTTACAAGCATAACTTTCTGAAATACTTCCCCTAAACATATATTTTAGTGTTTACAGATAAATTTTTTTATCACTATCTTATTATCGATGCTCATTTTTTGAAATTTTTTTCTACCATTGAATTTGGGATAAACTTTTTTTGTACTTTCATATTGTTTTTTTTGCGCATAATCGAAAACCACAATAAATCAATTGAATTTTTGAGTTGCTACAAAATGGATGGAGAAAGTCTTCAACCTAAATCTCTTCTTTTTGTGTTAGGAAGTTATAATATAAAACATTTCGTCTGCCAAACAACAGGTCTGAACAGGCAATAACGCTAGAAAATTTAGGAGTTTGCACACCAAATGAGTTGTACCAACTTTTAATTTTTAGAAATTTCATGAGTTTTACGAGTTTGCAAACCTTGTCAGTCAAGTAACAAAATTCTTACAAGAGTAGTTGGTTGCTGTGCAAGTATCATAGAGGAGTCTAACTATTCACCAGTTTATAAACTTTTCTTCTCGATCCAGAAATTACTTTTGTCACCGTTATTAAATGTCATGAACGTAGCGTATACTCACTCTTATATAGGACTCGGTGATTTTTGTTGTTTTTTTTTGCTATTTGATTTTCAATTTTTTCAAATTTCGTTTCATTACCTTTGAAAGTGGATTTTATTTTCAGATAGTTCTATTTTGTGGTACTGCGGTTGCAGTAACCTTGAGTGACAACATAGTTATTACTGCAGATACAGTAAACGTATTTATTGATGTTATGTAATAATGCTTTGATCTTAATACGTATGTGTGGTCAAGGCCAAAGGTGGTGTTTAGAAATTTACTTATTTTAACTTCAGTGCGCCATACGCGTATGGAGTTAAGCCACCTAAACTGAGCTACGATCTAACACGAGAAAAGAACTTGAATTCAATTCTTAGAATATCCGTTTTTTATCCACTGAGTTTCGGGGTTATCACATGGCGCAGCCAGCAGGATTCCTATCCAAGACAACAGGACTGACATGGGGATCCCGATATTCTGCACCACAGCGAATTCAGACTCTCCATGGAATTTCGAAATGTGGTTTGATCAGTTCCTAAAGGCCGTAACAGTGAAAGATAACGTAAGTCCTAAGATAATTTTGGAAGACCCAAAACCTATAGTAGCGGAATTAGAACCGAGACCGGAAATACCTCGTACAGGTGATGCTGCGAACGCTATAGCAGCTCGTGAGGCACGGGATAGAATGATGAGAGATCATGTGGCAGCAGAAAACGAAGAAAAAAGAGAGAGTGGACCGAAAGAAGGTCATAACATCTATTATAATGAAGTGCAAAAACGTCTAGTGTCGAGGTTATTCCTTGCTTTGGGGACTGAGGAAAAAACTATTTGTACGGAAAAATCCTCACGAAGAAATTTCAAAACTGGATTTCAAAGAAATGGTTAGATTGGCTAAAGCTACATTCGAAAAATCCCAGAGCATTACTTATGAACGATACAAATTATTCAATTGATCGCAGGAAACGGGTGAATTTTTGGAGGCGTTCCATACAGCGCTAACTGCGCAGGCAGCGACGTCCGCGCTGGATACTTTAGAAGATGAATTAGTAAGAGACTTGTTTATTTTCAAAATGAGAAGTCCCGCTTTACAAGACTCCCTCACGTTTGAAACATTACCCCCAGACGAAGTACTGAAACGAGCGTTGAAGTTTGAGCAAAGTAAACAAACGACACAGGCATTTCAGAAAACGAACATGACTACTGCATCAACAATATCCCAATTCGGTTCACGAATCAAAATTAAACAAGAACCAAAATTGGCAGTGAGAAACAGAGGCCAAGCGAATAAACGATACAAACGAGACAGGTTCAAGACAAGGCAATCAAAAGGGAGAAAAACTTCAAAGTATAACAACGACACGGAAAAGAAACCGTGCAGTCGATCTAGAAAACCGTTTACAGAAAGCATTCTTAAAATTGTCCAGCAAGGGGGGAAATGCAAAAACTGCAATATGTCAAACCATTTTGCACGTATGTTCAGATCGCAACAAGTGAACGGGATCACGGAAACGACAGAGAGCTCGGAAGAAGAGTGTAATTTGAGACGGAAATTCGACTCTTGTGACGAGTTCGAGGTAATGCCAATCTAGAAAAATAAAAATCGGATGAATAGTATCAACAGCTATATACAAAGAAGATTAGAAAACAAAAAAAACTGCGAACAATCCATTGATGAACCAGAAATTCAAAAAATTGGCATACGTTGAGATCCAAATTTGGAGTGTATGATGTCAGTAAAACCATTGGTGAGAATTGATCATCAGATTTTCAACAAGACGGTGGATACCGAAAGCTCGAAATCTTTCTTAAACTGGCCAACAGCAAAACAAATTCTTGAATCATCTGACAAAGTAAAATTTACCTCAGCAGAACGTCTTAACTTGCCTGCGCAATTCGTGGGTTATAGTGAACACCCTATTGTAATACTTGGTGCTCTCAGGGAAAACATACGTTCCGCAGGGTGGAATAAAAATGAAGCCACATTTCTAATTACTGAACGACGCACAAGGTTCAGTAGCAGAACAAAGGGGGATTAGCACTACTCGAAAGCCGGAACCAAAGGAAAGAACTTGATTCAACGTGCTACTCTGCAAGCAGTCGGATACTTGGAAAAATAAGTTTTTTTCAACATACCAAGTTCTTTATGACCGTCAGGGACGATCGCTACACCACGTGGTTAACACAAAAACCAAATATATTACCTTTGTCCCATTCAGGAGAAAGGTAGACGAATACCAATTCATGTACAAGAAAAAGTTTGAAAAAACATTAAAAATTGCTGTCAAAGGTCACATTCAATTATTAGACAAATGCACAAGCGACTGTTTTATAGCTCCCATTGTCATTACGGTAAAAAAAAACGATTCCATTAAATTGGCCTTGGATGCGAAACCAATAAAGAGGCAACTACTCATAAATAAGTACTAAAGGCCGAATTTAGAGGAATTTGCTCAATGGAGTAAGCTAAATTGAGACTGCAAAAGCAGTAGGAACTTTATATTTTACAGTTCTTGATTTAAGTTATGCATACAGCCAACTGAAACTAATGGGGGCAGGCGATCGGTACGTATCGTTTTCTCACCGGATTCTATATCTTGGCTGATATGCCAGCCGAATTCCAAAAAGCAATGGATCGCACCCTGAACAATTCAAAGAACAAGTTTTGTTTCTTGGATGACATATTGATAGTCTCGAAGGGATCAGAGACTGAACACAAAAAATTAATCACAGACGTGTTGGTGAAATTAGACAAAAAGCACCTATTGCTGAAAAATCCATTAAACTGAAGTCAAGTGGCTGGGACTTTAAGTCAAGTTATCTGAAAGCGGAGTTACGCAAAATTACGAAAACGGAAGCCATAGTGAATTTAGAACATCCGAAATCACTAAAACAACTTAGGTCTTTTTAAGGGAATATAAACCATCTTTCGAAGTTTATACCGAACGCCGCTAAACTTACTGATAAACTACGACTGTTGTTACGAGAGGAAAATGGGAAAAAAAGTAGAAAAACGTAAGACTACCAGTAAAAAATTTTGAATGGAGGGAGAATCATTGAGAAGTTTTAGAGGAAATTCAAAAAGCAGTAGCCAACATCGCGAAGTTAAAAAATTATAAACCCTAAAAAACGGGTGAAATGAGAAGAGAGTCACAATGGATTGGGGCAGCGCTGGAGCAACGAAAAGAAGAGGGGTATTAGGTTCCAATTTCGTTCGCTTCACGATATTTGATTAGTCAAGAAAAAAAAATGATCCACGAATGAACTGGAACTGTTGGCAGTTGTTTGGTCAGTTGATCGTTTTAAACATTACATTGTTTTCCTACAGTGATCAACAGTCTATAAAGTAGGCTCAACGATACATATTCGCTCAACCGGAACAAAAAACTTCTGCAATATTCTCAGTAGCATCAAAACGCAAAAGAAAATATGAAGTCCAGGCACGGTTATGTGAAAATATGAAGTCCAGCATACAAAAACGGTCAAAAACAAGAAAAACTCGACCGGAACGAGAACGGGTCCAATTCACGACCTTCAAATGTTAACAACACGTTAGCAGGAAACATTTTGTCAATTTCTCTGACAAAATCCAGAGTGAAGTTCATTTAAAAAGAAAAACTCAATTCAAACGAGATGGAGAGCTTAAAATTGAAGAAGAAAGTAGTCCTAATAGAGGATAGCAGGACACAGGATGATCACAAAAAGGTAACGGAGGAGGAACTAACCGAAACAACATTCCATAGGACGCGCCAAATAAGGAGAGGGTGTTGGGTAGATCGGTTTTGGACAGTCTGGACGAACACAACACGATTGATAAAGCAGTGATGTGGAATCAGGACATTGCGGAGACAAAGAATTTGTTGTCACTGTGGGATCTTTTGAGCCAGGATAGAGAATATTCAGGGCATATTCGGGAACTAGATGCGGCAAACCAAATATTTACCAGCAGCCCGAAAACCAGAAGCAATCGATCGGAGTCACCAGCAAAAACAATAATTGAGGTGGACTTAACGGCAGAAGACAACGATTGTAGGCCAGAAGTGAGTGTCGTGCAACAGGCAAAAAGAAACAAACGAAATCCTGGAAAGGAGGAGAAATCAGAGAAGCAACTGGGAAACGTGGGAATGTTCAGCTTGTCAAAACTATTTGACAAAAACCTGGTATCGGAGCTCATAGCCGAAGATGTATGGATGGATCGACTAAGAAGGGCCATTGAGAGAAACGATCGGGCAGGGTTCGAGTTGATG